TTCCCATGGGCATTTTTCATTTCTATTCTTCACTCTCTCTATCTCTCTCTCTCTCTTGTACAATAGCTGTTTTTCCCAGTTTCCCAAAGGGATCTTCCTGTAGCTAAAATATACTATATATAGATGTCAATTTACTGAAATAAAGTGTGAGTAACAGTTACATTCTTCTTTGGCTATTAACCATTGGATGTAAAACGAGTCTGAAAGGAATAACCTCACACACTATTGATTCTTTTTGTGCTCACTTCGCTAGGCGAATTTATGGTTGCAGAATACGGCGCATTCGATATTACGACTTTGATCGCCTAGCTTGTGAACGATTATTCCAGAAAAACGGGAAAAGACGCGAATAAGAATCAAACAATTTTTCAAGGGTTTCTTGTAAAAAAGTAAAAAGAATGGAGGATCTAATTTTTCTGTCTTAAAGATGATGTTATGATATTCCAACAGTACAAATGTGTTTGTAGCAGAGATCGACAGTTAAAAATAGACCTGTAACACGTTTAATTCAAACGAATCTTAATTGTCTGTCGATTTATTTCAAAAAGCGTGACTGTTCAACAGCTTTTTTCTAAAGAGTTGCTTATAAAGGGATGAAGATTCAACTTTAGATGCGATTACATTAACATCTCGTCTGAGGCAATTGTTCTCGGCAAGAACGTTAGTTTAACAGAACAAAATATTAACCAACGTCAATTTTACAAATGGTTGTCTTTTTTGAGGAAATCAACGAACAGCGCCGGGCCATATACTACAGAAATGTTTCTTCAGAGGAGATCGCTCGTCTTCTTGCTCTTCTTTTAGTTTCCTTGGAGGTTGTTCAAGCGGCTTTCGCTCTTTTCAACCAGAAATCAGTTGACTTTCCAGAGCATATCGCCTGACATCGTCGAAGCGATTTCGTAGGAATCGTTTTTCAAGAGAACTCGCTCTGCTTCTGGTTTCTCTGGAAACGAAAGTGAGTTTCGATTGGAATTACTGTTACGCGTTTGAACGATGTCGATCGTGTCTAGGCTTATAGAAAGCTACCGACTCGCATGCCTATCAAGAGGGAAAGCGCAAAGATCGATCCCTTTTCTGCTCCGTTTATGATGCCTTATCACTTTATTTTAGAAAATGTGAGTGAAAGGAGAAAGTACCAGACACTGTTAGCGAGAATGGATGGAATCTTCTGAATTCGAGATGTGCAAGATATCCATAATGTGCCTTTTAACAAAATTCGCCGAAGCACCAGGATGCTGTTCGGAAAATTCAATAATATAAGATATTCAAATATTTAAGATACCCCAAATACCTAAGATAGTGAAATATCTAATGGCCGGCATATGTCATACATACATGTGTAACCACGTGGATTGTGTATATATCCCTGGAAAGCTCTTCATACGAAAAAAATGACAGTAAAATGAGTTCGCAGCGACCTCAAATTGTGCTTGAGACTACGCATGCAGCTGTTGAAAAACAGCCACCAACAACAAGAAGCTTTTGTGGTTAAAGTGCGTGCCTATTTGAGACAAGATAATCTGAGGCAAAAATTTTAATTCTATTCGAAAAATTTCACTCTTCAAAACTCGAAGTTTCCAGGCCATCCTCTTCAATAAATTTCGTTCAGCTCTAAAAGATCAAAGCGAACTCGACGCAGTTTTGTCGGCTCCTTTGTATGCGCTTTAGCACGAGTCTACCGGACGTAAGCTGAGGCTGAAAAATCGAAAATTTTAAAAATGTCGCTTTTTCAGCATTGTCCAATGTACACCTCGGGCACCGTCTCTTCAGAAGCGAAGCTCGAGGATGAAGAAGCCTGTTAGTGAACTAATAAAAGTATGAACTGACAAATTACAGTTTCAAATATTTCCAAACGCCGTATGTATAATCTGCCACATAAATATTCATCAGTGAATCAAATGCAATACCCATCGGTGAATAGGTAAAATTAAGTATCGGTATACCACTGCTACTGGTCACTCCGTCGAAAGTACCTTGACAGTACAACATAACTCGTGAATTAGAAGCATCTGCTACATAGAGGTTGCGGTAACGATCCATTGTTACCATTATCGAGTTGTGGAGATAAGTCGAACCGGCACCCGGTATACCTGGTGTACCAATGACAAATGTTCCCGTCGTAGCTCCCGGTGTCCATCTACTAACTGTATGGCCAGCGAAGTTACTTACATAAAGAAAATTTGATATTGAATCATAGTAAATACCAATATTGTCATACAGCTGCGTTGCCGAATTACCTCCACTACCAGAATTACCCTACAAAAACAAGACGATGGATCTTTTGAACAAGTGATTTGTATTCATCGGTTTTACTTACAGCTACCAATGTACCAGCTGTACCACTCGTTGAAGTAACAGAGAACTGTAGTATACGCGAATTCCCGTAATCTGATACATATATATTACTTTCTGTTGAATCAAAAGCTAAATAGCATGGACCATAGAGTGCATTCAGACTAATACTGGGTGATCCAGTAACACCAGCAAGAATTTGATAGTTGGTAGTCGATGTTGCTGCTGTCGACATTTTTAAGACCCGATCTTGTCCTTGATCTGGTATGTACATGTACTGTTGCAAGGAGTCAATAATTGGCGGATAAGGAAAAGAGATACCGGTTATAATCACCACAATTGAATACGCGAAGGAGGAGGTTAATGGTGAGGTCGTTTTTACAATTGTATTGTTTATAAAATCGGAAATGTATAGAACATCATTTTTAATGTAAACACCGCTTGCACCAGCGAGGCCGGTTACAACTAGAGTACCCGTCGTATTCCAATAGAGTCGAGTAACACCTACCATGAAGAAATTCTAACTGTAGGTGTAAAGTTGTTATGGTCACGGCTGAAACACCTTACATGGATCCGAACTAGGCGTAGTAGTTGATGTGGTTGTCGTTGTCGTTTTTTTGGGTAGTAGTAGGATAATAAGGGTAGCTGCTATCGCAATCAAGAATAAGGCGCATAAGAGACAAGACAGCCATAAAGACAGCGGGGTACAGGCACTAAAAGAATGACGGCGGTTATTCTAAGCGGCACTCGATGTTGTTCGCTCGCTGAGGCACACATACTAAATCCATTTTCTTTTCTTCTTCTTCTTCTTCTTTTCAGGTTCTGCTCTAAACAATGGAAATTGACCTAAAGGCGATGAATTTAAATAGATCACTGACAGTGATTTTGGCTGTGCTGTTGAGCCCTAAAATGCATAACAACGGCCATTTGACACATTTTGAACAGAAAACTTGTGTACGTACTTTTCTGGTGCCGGAAATCTTAGATTTGACAGTTTTCTTGTCCGTTACTGATAACTGGATTTTACCCTAAAGAAAAGTTTACTTATCATTATTCAGAATTTCGCTGCATTTAAAACAATACTTCTCTGTGAGTAGATTTGGATCTCCTTTTGCTAGATGCGCCACTCGACAACGACCAGTCAAGTTTACTCTAGAAAGAAGTTCACTTTTTTCTGTGAAATGATAATGTGAATTTTTCAATATAGACGCAGATAATGTGAAATTTCAAAAAGATAGATAAATATTCACAACTTTTTTTGAAAAATACTTTTTAAAACAACTCACCGTCTGGGTTGATATACTAGTTGTCCTTTTATGAGCCGAGTGGGTGAAATTGGAAAGTGACGCTGTCTCTGTCCAGTTTAGTTCATACGGAGTTACGACTGATTTCTACGAGAGACACAAACAGATAAAATTAAAGATACGGCCAGTGCTTGCGTTTCATTATACGTTACACTGCGTTTTCTCACACTCGTTACACGTGTAGTATTCGGTCGACGACTCTGTAAATAGTAGTACTTTAAACCACAATCGACATAGGAGAAAAGAAAAAGTACCTACATACCTCTGTGTCACTATAGCCGACAGTTACAGGAGTTATCTGCCGTAAATGTTTTCTTTTAATTTTTGTTACTCGCGGTAAGTTTAGTTGTTTACTGGACATCATGAGTTTCGTTCTCTCCGAACGAATTGAGTCGTATCGTGTTGTTGTGATGAACAGAAAAAAAGGTTTCAATTTAAAGACTAACAGAAGCCGTATAACTGAATTATTTATACAAATTATAATGGAAGCAGCAAACAAGAATTCAATTAGTTATGAAAAATTGATTATAGATTCAGGTTTGTAAAGTACAAAAAGAATTGGAGAACCGCGCTCATGTGAAATTGAATCTAGATAAATAACTTGGTGAATAACAAACAGAAACTGTTGCTAGACGCGTTTCTGACTGCTATTAGCAGAGATAGAGAGTGATACGAGAACAAGTGCCTTGGCTTAAGACTCCTTGAACCCAACTTAAAACTTTAATT